GATTTGGCTACTGCATACATTAGTTTGCTCTGGAGCCATCCTTCCTGAGCTAAGGCAAAAATGTGTGAGCTGGAGGCTAAAAAACTGTGAGCTAGCTCACACTAACTCAGCTTAGAGGGAACACTGCTCCAGAGCAGGCTAATTGATGCAGCAGCCAAATCACCTGCTCACAACTTCAGTGCCGGTAGCTCACAAAGTAGAATTTTTGCTCACAGGACTCTACAGCTTAGAGGGAACATTGGATAGGACCCGCCGCTTTGAAAGGGTCGGCCTCTCGCTCGCCGAGGGCTGCTTGACTTTCGCCATCCCTCCTCTCCCCTTTGATTCCGCGCTGCTCTTTTGAAAGGCTCGATGGGACGGCTTTTGTGGCGTTTTGTCGAGCCCCCGCTTCTCCTCCGGGCGCCCGGGCTCCTCCTGTGTTTTCTCTCCACCCCCTCCCTCCTCTAAGCCCACCCCCCCTCTCCGTGGCGCCGATGAAAAGATTCCCCTCCTTGGCTTAAAAGGCCCGGGGGTTAATGGGTCTTCAATGCGACCTTTTTGTCCCCGCTCCACCCCCCCACCCCCCAAACTTGGCCTGGGAGGGCCTCTGGTGCCCCCCCTCCGTTTTAGTTCCAGAGGGGAGGCGGAGGGGGGGACACACGACTTTTCTCCTAAGCCTCACGCTTTGCATTTTGGAAACATTGGGACCCGCTAGTCCTCGGCCGGGCAGGCGGAGAAAAAAAGGGGAACAGGCGAGCCCTTCTTCAAGAGTGGTCTCGTCCCCCAAAACACCCGGGGACCAGGGTTCCCCCGAAGCCGGGTTAGTGTGAGCCAGCTCGCAGGATGTTAGCCTCCGGCTCACACATTTTTTTTTTTTGTCTCAGCTCAGGAAGGAGCAAACTGACTGATGCAGCAGCCAAACGACTCGCTCACAACTTTAAGGCCAGGAGCTCGGAAAGTAGAATCTTTGTTCGCAAGATTCCACAGCTTAGAGGGAGCGTTGGTGGGGACTTTTTTTGTTTTTTAAATACTGGCTTCTGCCGCCCCCTTGCCCCCCAAAACGCTCTGGAGTCCTATCTATCTATCTATCTATCTATCTATCTATCTATCTATCTATCTATCTATCATCTCAACCCAAATTCCTATCTCTCTATGTTTCTATCTATCTATACTTATATATGTATGCGTGTATATATGCGTGTGGCTGGAGAGAGAAAGAGAGAGAGAGACATATAGGTATATATATTTGCAATGAAATAAAATAGAATCCAGATTACTTTGCAATGTCCCTGTCCATTCGAAGGAAAGTCTGTAAACTTCAGAAATCGATTTGTTCTCCAGGCAATGGAGGGAATTTTCTTTTTTTGGGGGGTGGTGGTGGAAGGGGTGGAAGAACATCTACCGGGAAGGACACCCTCACCAGATACACTTCCAAAGAAAGCGTGATCCATATATTTAAAAACAGGTTTGAAACACCATGAGCACCGGGATAATTTTTTTTAAAAAAATCACTTTAATAATAATCCGAATTAGAGAATCCTGCGAAGATACCCCTTGCAGGTCCCAACAACTTGGCTAGCTCTCGAACGGCAGAACACCACCTGACAGTCAAAAATACCCGTGACGATTCACAACAATAATACTAGTAAGTAAGTAATAGTAATGCTGACGCTCAGTTTCCGAGAAGTTGGGGAGATCTCGAACTGCAGCACACCAGCTACCGCTCAAATATCTGACTCTGACGATTCATAATAATAATAGTAGCAGTTAAGTCATAGTAATAATAAGAAGACGTTCCCAAGAATTTGGCGAGATCTCGAATTGCAGCGCACCAGCTACCAGTTAAATGTCTGACTGGGACAATTCATAATAATGAGAAGAAGTTCTCAAAGAACTTTAGATCACCAGTTGCGAAACGCCATCGACCAGTCGAATATCTCACTATGGCAATTAATAATAATAATAATTTAAAGTTAAGTTAAGTTGCCAAGAACTTGGCTAGATCTCAAGGCGCAGAACACCACCGATGAGCCAAATATCTGACTGTTCATTCATTAGTAATAATACGACTGCGAGTGTCAAACAGATTCCTCCGAACAGAGGTGGGGGATTCTCTAGCCTTTTTGCCTTTCTCTCGGCCGGAGTATTTTGGGGGGAGTGTCCCCGGCTTCAAAAGACAGACGCAGGCTTTGAAGGGAGGGTCTCGGGCGGGGGGGTCTCTTTGGTCGTTCCAAAGGCGGCCCTGCGAGAGTTCTGCTGAGAGAGACTCGCTACTCTATGCAAATCTCGTCCGCGAGTCAATCAAAACAGTTGGTACTGCGGGGGAAATTCACAGGGTTTTGTGGTGGGGTTTTTTTTGGGTGTTGGAGGGAGCTCTTACTGTTGCCGTCGATCTGCTGACTTTTCCCATAGCTGGGTGGTTTTTAAAAAAAAAAAAAGATCAAGGAGACGACCTGTCCTTTAAAAAATATATATATTAAAAAGAGGAGAAAGTTGTGGATTTCGTTCCCCAGTCTTTAGGAGAGAAAGTGCGTGGAGAATTACGACGGCTGTCGAAATGGTTCGTCGACGACAAGAAAACAGGGGGACTGAACTGGCGACGGGCGTGGGGAGGGATGAGATTTGG